GTCTACTGCCATTCCTTTTGAGATGACTGCTCTGTCCGCACTACTCAGGATAACAATCCTAGGTAAAGCTACAGGACGTTGGGAGCCCACCCTACCCAATAAATGAATACTGAGCCAGTTTACAAGACCACTGAAATGAGCCTTTATTTTAACAGAGGCTGTGCTGCAGCATGGGACATTGGTATACTGGAGGGAGCCCTCTCAGACTAACCTGAGGAGTGGCTCTGGTGTGCTGCTTAAATAGTAGCTGCAGATCTTTGATTGGTCCAAATGGAGGCCTGTGATTGGTCTAGGAGGATGAGGACAGCTGCAGCTTCCATGGAGGAAATCAGTGAGTGGGTGAGATGAATTGAGCTGTTGATTGACAGCTATCATGTCCTTGTCACAAAAACTTGGGACTGAAACCAGAGAACATTCAGGAGTATTAACTGTGCTCATTACAGCTAATAGGGGGTCGAGGAGGTTGGGGATGTTAACGATGTGCCCAGATCTTTCTCTCCATCACTCATCCACATCTGCATGGCCCCCACTTCTTCAAAGAGGCCACAGCAGAATGGGAAGTGGTGGGAGTGAGGGAGGAGCACATGGCTGAGAGTCCAGCTGCATCGGGTCAGAGTGGCTTGGAGGAGAGCAGCTCCTGAACAAGCAGGAAGGACACCACAGCTCATTGTCCCTGTCCACTGGGAGAGGAAGAGGAGCTAAGGCAGAGAGTGAGACATTTGTGTCTGTCTCACTGCCACGAGGTGAATATGTTTTCATTCGTGGCATTCCACCAGTCCCTCAGCCTTCTTCAGACTTTTTCATTGTTCTTTTTGTTTGTTTTCCAAAAGCTCTGTTTGTAAGTTTCCAATTTTATTCCTTTTCATCCAGTCTAATATTGAACATCTGTATTGTATTTTAAATTTTGTTTACGAAATTTTTCATCTTCAATGGTTCTGTTCAGTTCTGTTTCATGAACATACCTCTTAAATTTATCCTTCAAAGAAGAAATCGTTTTTCTGATTTCATGATATGATGTATCTGCATTCTTGTCTCGCTGAGTTTCCTAAAGAATATCTTGAATAATTGGTGTTGCAGAACTACTGTGTTCCTATGATGTTGTGAGGCTCCCTTGTTTTGTGTGTGTTTGTGTATATTTTCTTCTGTCCCTGAGTTCTCTTCCCCACAGTGTGAACTCTTAGCTGAGAGGCTGTCCTGTCCTCTTGCCTCATATCCAGCTGGGAGCGGCAGTGGTGTGTGGTCGGGCACGCATGTTCACAGCTATGATGCGGCTTGGTCACTGGGCTCTGGGTTCTGCAGAACTGCTGTGGTGTCTGGGACTTTTGCACTGGCTTTCTCACTAGGGCAAAAGAGGATGCAGATTTCCCACAACTCTGTGGTCTGTACCCTGAGGCCCAGCCTAGAAGCTTGGGCAATCTGAACAGAGCTGGAAACCTGACTCCCCAATCTTGGAGGCCCAAGTGCAACCTCAACCTGGCTCTGGGAAAGACACGGTGCTGTGAAGGCTCCAGACCTTGAGTCAGTTTGTACCCTCAGATTTCTTCAAAGCCACATGGGAGACATCAACATGGGTCTCTGGCCACAGTGTGAGAAACTTGGAGGGTGAGAGGTCGGGCACAGCTCTACCGCAACCCTTGTGAGCTCAGGTACAGGCAGCAGACACCCAGCAACAATGAGGGCCAGCCATGGCTTGGGCCTCATGGAGTCGCACAGCACAGTCTCCACTCCAGGGCTGCAGGGAGCCTGGGAAGCACACAGTCACAGAGACTAGTGAAGTCCCAGCAGGAATCGCACAGGGCTTTCAGACTACAGTGTGGGGTGTGACCACTCAAAAGGCCTCATTCCCTGGGGCAGGGTCACCACATTACCTCACCTCAGAAGGCCCAAGAGGCTCTGCTTTCCCAGGAAGCACACAGCCATTTCACCCCGTGTGCAGGGAGCTCGATGGCTCTGGTCAGCCGTGACTCTAGGTCTCTGCAGGGCAGGCACTGGGTCACCTTGGCTTCAGACTGGGAGTAGTGTCTGCATCTGCCCTGGTTGGCCACATTTCTGCATCCCAGTGTGGAAAGACTAAGCTCACACCTGTGCCCTCAGGATGAGGCAGCACCAGAACATGGGCTGGGGAGACAGAGCAGCTCCAGGGCACCTAGGACCTAGCGGTATTTGTAGCCACAGCCTTCTCTTGAATGGTGGGCTGAGGGGCTTGGTGCACTGGTGCAGAGCCCTCAGGCATTGAAGGGCTGGTGGTCAGTAGTCCATGGAACAAGTGCGCTATTAGTCACTTGGTTCCAAGAAATGGCGGCTCAGGAGCAGCTCGGGCCCAAGGCCCACAGCAAGCGAGGGGTGTGAAGAGGGCTCCCTGTCTGGTAACCATAGGCATGAGAACCTGGCGGCCCCTCGGGTGGGCTCAGTGAGGATGTGACTGCAGGAGTCTTCAGAGTGAGCCTGCGATGGTGGTGTGCAGTGCTGGGTCCTCACTTCATCTTCCTGCAAGGGACTCTCCTGGTCAGAGCTGGTGCCCAGGGTGGGGAGGGAGGGTGATTCTCCCCTTCTCTCTGACAGGCAGCCTAGATTGTGACACTCACAGGACCCTTGCTCCTCCCTTCCTGCCTTCTGAAGCTCTTCTTCAGTCATTCGCTGTAAGCTTGGTTGTGTGCTTGTGGTTTTGGTTCTCTTTGAGGAGAGAACAGACATTAAGAACTTCGAGTCATCCTTCAGGCTGCAGTTCTACAGCAAAATAATTGACAGTATTTTGGACCTCGTGAGTTTTAAATTTTTAAGCTTTTAAACTCTCTTGTATCATGCCTTTTTCTTGTTTTTCTACATAGCCTCTATTCTTTTCTTCAGAATTGTAGTGCTGCTTAATTAATTTTCTCTTTTGTCATTTTTATTTAACATATTAAGCAATTTTTATATCAACATTATGTTTTTACTTTTGAAATCTGAGCTCTCTGGTAAATCTATCACGTAGCTTTTTCTACTTCTCTTTGACTTCTCCATATTGGATTCACTTTTGATTGAAATACTGTCATGCATCAGTTAATAGTGCAGATACATTCTCAGAAGTGAGTTGGTAGGGTTTCACCACCTGAGTGCATGGAGACAAAGTGAGAGGGATAGGACACCAGCAGGTGACAGTCTAGTGGGGACGCCCTCATATTGGTGGTGCTCACAGCTTGGAAAGTCCTGTGTGGAGCACATAGTCACCCCAGTGTTTCTCATAATGCTAGCTTGTGGAACCTTCCCCTTCTGGATTCACTGATGTTTGATTGTAGCAATACACTGAGCTGATCACAATGAGTATTTGTTTCCTTCTTTATGGATTTCAGTGTAAAAAGCATTCAGAGACAGATTGCTTCTTACAAATGAGCCCTTTTGTCGTGTTTTCCCCTGTTGTTTTACTTGGCATAATTGTCACAACTATACATGAGTGGGTGAAGTTACAATTGTCAATTGCTGCCTTCACCCCCGCTGTTGTGAACCATAATTTCATGTTTTATATTTCATAAGTCTTCCATCTAGAATAACTGTACTCTGAAATCTATAACCATGGTATCCTGCTCCATTGATACAATATCCACAATTCCCCTCTAATTCATCCTGTGACCTTTAACAATCATTTTACATGGGAATTCTATGTTTTTCTAACTTTCACTAGAAACTAGAGTTCTAATTCTGTTTCTCCTAATTGTTTTTTGAAAAATTCCTTAAAGAGGAGACAAAAAAATGACTTTTGGGTTTCATTTTCATATCTGCATCCTTATCTTTAAGTATTTCAATGTGATTCACTTGTTCTTCACTAGTGCTTGATAATATTATCTGTATTCTAGCTTTTTAAAATAATATTTTATGATTTGTCATTTCATACTTTTAGACAGAACCCATAAGTTTGAACATGTAATAAAATCAATGTTTTACAAAATTAATCTTTTATTTTTATTTACACCCCCCCAAGCTTTCTCTTAAATTCAAACTCCATCCCCTAATTTCTGTCTGTTGTATTGTTAAATAGCTAATAATAGTTCCTTTGGTCTCTTATACACAAACATAAGTTGATTACCTGGAGAAATCTGAATTCCTGTTCAGAACAGACAATTTGAATAGATAAAGTATTTTTAAAATTTTGTGAAACCAATAGAAGTGCACACATACAAACACAAGGTAAGTATGGACTCAGAGAAGCACAGAGAGTTATCTGGATCAACGGTGGCTTTAATAGTCTTAAGATTCACTTCTGTCAACAGTTATGGAAATCAGCATTGCATCTGAGCATCTGAGTATGGATTCAAAGGAGCACATACAGAATTAATGTCCCTTAAACCTGTCTATAGACACCTGGTGGACTCAGTATATTCACCAGGGAAAAACAGACATGAGTACTAATTTCCTGTTTGTAGACTGAGAAAAGAATGTTTGCATATTCCCTTTGCATTGGTCAGGATTTAAAGCACTGTAAGAAGACAAAAGATTTAAATGTGTGGTGGCAAGGATGCGATTCAGAGCCACAAATTGCATTTTCAAAGTTCTGACTTTTTAAGACCAAATTCCAGATTTCAGGGATCACGTTGAGCATACAGATGGACCAGGGAAGGGTTCCAGCTCTGAGAATGTACCTGAACCACTAAATACTACAGGACACATATTACTGCAGATGACCTCGATTAAGTCATCTTTCCATGACAGAAGTGGCTGTCACCAAGGGAATAAGCTATAATAGGGGCAGAGACAAAATGTGAACAGCCTTGGACTGAGGCCTTGAAGTTTTTGTGTTGGAGTCCATCCTATGTAACTCGTCCTTATACAAATCTCCATCTTTCTATCACTCTGATATCACATGCTCCTGTGTTAATGTATTCATTTATTTACTTTCCTGCCCTCAGATAGCTGCAATAGTGCCGAAAAGGAGTGTTCATGAGAATTTGCCCTTCTGGACGCACGTGTGAGCTGTCCTTTTCTTGTCATTTCCAGGACCTCATCCTAAGTTGCATTTTGTCTTCCAGTGCTTTCTCTGCTGCCATGGCGACTATCCACCGAATGGAGAGGGCCTCAGTGGCAGCTGGACCTGAGCCCCAGCTGGGGAAGCCCATTTCTCTGCACTCCAGTCTGTGGGAAGGGATGACAGAGAAGTTTTTGAAGGGGAAGCCCAAGGTCCTTGGTGTAAGTTGTCTTCGGATCTGAGGAGAGCAATGGTGTAGAAAACTCATGCCTGGTCAAGCCAATGCCACACACGGTCCCACTGGGCTCCGAGCACTGTGACCTGTCCTGTAGTCATCAGTGTTTGGTTTTCAGGCTGAAACATGGAAAATGATACGATATTGACTCAATCGCATGTGGTTCCCATCGAGTTGTGTTTTATACACACTGACTTCAGATCTGTTCTGGGCTGTGCTTCATCCAGGACAGTTACATGGAGGAGCAGCAGTGGCTGTGTCCCCCACAGGCCTGCCTCATAACCCAGGACCTGCGTGTCCCTGTATGTCTCTGGTCCCCTTTCTTAACCTGCTTTCCAAGAGGAAACACCTTCCTTCTTCCAAACAGTTCCTTCCAGAGCCTCCTGTAGGGTGCTTGAAAGAAGAATCAAATGGAAAGATTTATCTGCCTCCTAAAGTTGAGTCCATGGAGCACAAATCATTGTGGACACTCCATGTTCTTCTTTCCCACTAGCTCTTATTTTTAGTGAATTTTGGAAACCCTATTTTCATGAGCCATAAAACCCACTGGGTTTAACTTTTAACATGTTGATAAGTATTTTTAAACAGTCTTTACTTTTCAGAGGAGCTTTAGGTCTGCAACAGAATTGAGAGGAAAGACAGATTCTTCCATGTGTCTCTGTACCCATTCATGCCTAGTATCCCCATCAGCAGTCACCCCACCTAGCAGTGGATGTGTTACAACCTCTCATGCCCAGCAGTATCACTCGCAGTCTATGTCCATAAAGCTGCCCTCCATGGGTTTCGGAGTCTACAATTCTGGAAAATTTACAAACGCATGTGCTCACTACTATAGTTGCAGGCAAAGTAATTTCACTGCCCTAAAAATATTCTGTGCCTTGCCTAATCTTTCTTCACACCCCTCTAGCTCGTCACAAGTGCTGTTATTTTCATGTCTGTAGGGTTCGCTTTTTCCAGAAGGTCAGGCATACAGCTGGCAGTGTGTAGCATTCAGTCTCTGGGTGGGTTTCCTGCACTCCAGGTAAGTTACATTTCTCCCGTGGGTTTTCATGGCTTGATACCTCATTTAACATTAACCAGAACTCCACTGCCTAAAAGTGCCACCGTTTATTCATGTTTTTATCTATGTAAGGGCAATGTTGGCAATTATACATAGCGCTTCCTAAATATCCTTGTGTACTTGTGGTGTGCACACGATTTTTCAACTCATTTGACCCAGCATGAGAGACAGATCATGTTTTAGTTCACTTTGGGTTGGTATGACAAATATGGGAGGTACTTAACATATTATAATGAAACTGTACACAGAGAGAGCTCCAACTTCTGCTGCCTGGAAAGTCCACGGAGCATGGCGCTGGCCACCTGGGACAGTCTCCCATTCTTAAGGAAATCAGTTTTAGCCACTTTCTCTTTTATGGATCAGACCTTCAATACTGCATTGAAAAAGATAGCACCATATCCAAAGTCATGTAGATACTCAACTATGTCTTTTTAGGAATTCTATTTGTAATTTTGATTGTGTATGTGAGTCATTTTGAGGTAATTATTACAAAGGATAAAATTCTGTGCCCAAAGTCTTTGCATGTGGGAGTCCCTCTTGTCCAGCATGATCTTTTCTTGATTGTATTACCCTTTCACCTTTCTCAGAGATCAGCTGACTCCAATCACATGTCTATTTCTGGGATTTCTATTCTCTTTCATTGATTTAGTTGTCTACTACTTTTGCCAGAATCATAATTCTGGATTACTATAGTTTTATACTGCACCCTAAAGTGCAATTTTGTCCATTTTCCAACTATCTTTCTTGTTTTCTTCAACAATGTACTTGGTATTTTGAAATTTTTGCCTCTCCATATAATTATTCAAATTACTGTTTGATACTCATAAATTATGGGTTTTGGAGTTTGACCAAGATGGCATGCAAATGATAGATATGCTGGGATAAACTATCATCTTCAGTGTATTAAGCTTTCCTTCCCAATAGACTAGAATCTCTCTATATTTATTTAGATCTTGGGTTTATCTCATCAGAGTTTTATAGTTTTTGTGCATTTTGATAGGTTTATGATTAACAAAAACAAAATATCATTACCTAAGTACGTTACTCTCAGATTACAATTTTTTTTATTTTTCCCCCATTATTTTATACATTTTGGGCATAAAATACAGTTACATACTTCATTTGGATCTTGTACCATTACAAGAGTATCTTGGTTCTTATTTTTTTCCCCTTCCCCTGCCCTCCCTTCACCTGCTCCACCCTTCCTTATTTGCAAAGACTTTGTTTCCATTTTTTCCTTTTCTCGTATTTTTTCTTTTCCCTTCTTTCCTTTCCCCTACCCCTCCCACTTCCCCTGCTCCTTTAGACCTTTACTTCATATTACACAATATCAATTGTACATTTTTAAAATTACAGTATCAAGATCTAGGAGACATTACCACAGATTTTACAGAATTTAAAAGGATATAGAAAGCATATTACAAAGCTCTTTTTTGAAATAAATTTGACAACTTCTAAGAAGTACCTTGGAAGAGAAATTAATGAAACTAAAGCTGGAGGAAATATAAAATTTGAATAGCACCTATTAAAGAAAGTATATTCCTACCTTGAAAACCTACCTATATGACAACAGCAGGCTAGTATACATTTTAACTGATAAATTGTATCAAACAAATAAAGTAGAAAAAAAAGAACACTTCTCCCCTTATTTTAGGAAATCAACATTGTGCTAATCCTAAAACTGGATAAAGATAATAGAAGAAAAAAGTATGAACATAGATAGAAA